GAATCCAAAGCATGATCCATAAGAAAAAAACTTGATAAATTAGACTGCGAATTTTAAAACATCTGTTCTTCAAAAGATATAGTGAAGAGAATAAACAGATAAGGCATAAGGCATAGATTAGATGGAAATATTTGCAAAGCATGTATCAGACAAAGATCTTGCATTAAGAATATATAAAGAACTCTCAAAACTCATTATAAGGACACAAATAACCCCATATTTTTAAGTGAGCAAGATTTAAACTGATACTTTATTAAAGAAGATACATGAATGGCAAATTAGCCCATGATGAGATAACCAACATAATTAGTCATTAGGGCAATACAATTTAAAATCACAATGAGATACCACTACATACCCACTAAAATGACTAGAATAAAAAACATAGATAATTCCAAGTGTTAGCAAAAACATGGAGAAACTATAACCCTCTCTCCTATATTTCTAGTAGGAGATGGCACTACTAACATGGAACACGTTTGTTTTTTTTTTTGTTTTTTTTTTAATTTGACAACTTTTTTTTTTTTTTTTAGAGAGAGAGAGCATGAGAGGAGAGAGGTTAGTGGGAGAAGCAGACTCCCTGCTGAGCAGGGAGCTGGATGTGGGACTCCATCCCGGGACTCCAGGATCATGACCTGAGCTGAATGAATAACATCATTATTCATAATAGCCCCAACTAGAGAATAAACAAAATGTGGTATGTATCTTTTCAATAGGATACTATTCAGCACTAAAAATGAACTACTGATACATGATACAACATGGCTAAACCTCAAAAATATAATGCTAAGTGAAAGATGCTGGATGTAAATGATTTCATTTATATAAAATTTTAAGAGATGGCAAATTTATAGTGTCAGAGAAGATCAGTAGTTGCTAGGGTTGGGAGTGGAAGTGAGCATTAACAAAGGAATTTTTTGGGATGATGGAACTGTTCTAAAACAATTGTGGTGATAGTATAAAACTATAAATTTACTAAAAATCATAGAACTGTACCCTCATAATGGATAAATTATATGGTATATTAATTATACCTCAATAAAGACAAGAACAATGAAGATAACAGGAACAACAAAAAAAGATTTTTCCCATAATATATTTATTTAAATGTCAAATTGCAGCATTGATGGATGTTCAAAGGGATTTGTTTGGTGAGGTTAGAAGGGGCCAGTAGTGAATAACAAAATAAGATGCCATTTTGGATGACATAGTTTGTAGCAATAGTAGCTATGGACATGGTGATTAATAGTTCCAGCACTATTCAAAATCTTGCTTTCTGCCTACTTTCCCTAAGATCTGGAAGTTGGCATGTTTAGCCTTCCCACTTATAATTATCCTCCCTCTAAATTGGAATAAGGATTAACTAATTATAGTTGTGTCTTCAGACACGAACCATACCAAATACCCTGGTAATGAAGAATTGTCCTGTCTGCAAAAGTATGCCAGAAAGCCTTAAAGTCTCTGGCACATGCTTTGAGGTCCAACCCATAGAGTTTCCCTAAAACAGTTTGGCGAGCACAGGTATACCCTGTACTTCCATTAACTTTAATTTCTTAAAATGCTGTTTTGGATAAGGTAATCTCTTAATCTACTGAGGCTCTCAGTTGGTCCAATGTAGAAAGTGTCAGTGGTCTATCAAAACACCAGGATGTGGTGTTAGAAGCCATAGGTTTAAACTTTGTCTCTGACATGAACTAGCTGTATAACTCTAGGTAAGTAACTTATTTTTTAGCCCAAGATTATTTATCACCCAAAACGGGATAATTTTGCCTACTCCATAAAACTTTTGTGAGAAATAAGCAAGATGATATGCATAAGGTACTTGACCCCACATCTACAAGTACCCCCTCCAATTCCTTAATATGACAATTAAAGCTTTCTAGAATTTGGCCCTGATATTCCAATCTAGAAGATTATCCCAATCTCCTAGGAGGAAGATTCCCTATTCTAACCAAACCAGACTTCTAACCAATTGTCACCATGCAATGACTGGCTGTATCCTGCTGTCTGTGCTGTCTTCTCCCCAACTCTATATTTAGTATTTCTACCCATCTTGTAAGACTCAGCTTAAAGCCTATCTTCTCCCTGATGGTTTGTCTGACCATTAACTCTCTAACAACTCACGAGATCCTTAATTATATGCTTTAAAATATTACTGTTTGAATATGTCTTATTTCCTCAGGTATAGAATACATTTCTGGAAGAACACCAAGATTTGTTTTATATCCCCCAGTGCTCCTCACAAAGACTGAAGACAAGGGTCTCAACTTCTCTCTCTCTCTCTCTCTCTCTTTTTTTTTTCTCCAGAGGAGTTCCTCAAAGAATAATTTGAAAACACCATTCAAGTCCAACTTTTTCATCTTATGGATGAAAAACTTGTCCCCAGAAAGGGTAAGTAACATTCAAGGTCATATGAGTAATTTGGTATTAGAGCTGAAAACAAAATTCAGGCTTCCTGTGGCAGGGATATCAGGCTGTCATTCAATATCAGTTTTCCCATGTATCTATAGGACTACCAATTTTTAGCTGGAAACGTGGTCACCCAGAATGAAGACTTCATGTCTCATCCTTCCTTTGAGAAGAGTGGATATGCGTTCTATGAAATGGAATAGAAGAGAAAGTGCTATGTAACTGTATCTTTTCCTTTCTCCCCATATCTTCTTCAACCTCTGTCTAAAACACAGACATGATGGTAGAATTCCATCCTGAATCCACACTGGATTCATTCTTCCATTCATTCAATAATCCATTTAATAGCCGTTGAGTATGCACCTACATTCTGTCTGGCATAAATCTAAGAAGGGGCTTGAGGGGATACAGGAATGAAATATACAAATCATGCCCTTAAAATTAGAAGTCACAAGTATTGAATGAACTTATCACCGTCTTAACTCATATTACAATTCACAAGTCTGGAGAACACTCATCTCAGAATTTCTCTGACAGTCTTATCTTAGATAATCTCTCTATTTCCAGTAATAAATTATTGATCAATCTATATGTATTTATATGTTCTACTTGCCTCTCTCAATTCACTCTCTGTCTTTCTCTATTTTCTCCACTGATATCTGTATGGACTACATCAATGAGCTCTCTTGTCTTCTGACTTCTGGTTGGGTTGGTCAAAAAGGACACCAGTAGGAAATCAGAGGGAAGTAAGAGAATGAGTTCTATGCATTTATTTTTCTCAGCTCCCTCCCCGTGGGGTCATCTCAGGCTAACTTTGTTCCTTAACTGAAGGTCACTGTTCCACTCAAGGTTGCCCACTACATGGCTCTCTACTATTGGGTTCTGGTAACCATTCCTTTCCTTCACACCCTTTGAACTGTTACTAGCCCCAGGGAAATGCACTATATCCTGTGGTTTCCCTACACATGGCCCACACCTTGTAAATAACCCACTTATTAAGCTCTCCTTGAATTATCCTAATGTGAGGCTGCCATCTGTTTCCTGCTAGCATGCTGACTGATACACCATGTGTCCCAATTTTCAATTAGAAATATATAGGCACCAGATACCCATGCACCCACCAGAACCACTGTTAGGAAGACAGAGTTAAGGCAAGATATTTTGCAAAATCTTAGTGCATACTTCTGTCTATCTGAGACTACAAGAACATCATCGTAACCACTAGCTTTTAAGATCAGATTTGGCTCTCAGGTACCTGAGCCATACACAAGCCTTCTTTATTTCTCTCCTCTTTTGGGGTATGCTAGACTAGACTCTACATCTTTTAAACAGCCTTGTCTTGAAAGCTTTCATTTAGAAGTGGGGCTCCCTTCTAGGTGGAACTCACTGTCCCCAGTTTTCCACCAACATGTATCAGAACCTCGAATCTAGTATTTTCTGCCAAATCCACCAGTACCCTCACTTAGGATCTTTAAAGTATTCAATATGCCTATTTTAGGGGCATAGTCCACAGTTTTTAAAGAAAGAAACATAAAAATAATTAATCACCCGCTTATTCATTATAAGTAACTGAAGTATCATTGACCACAGAGAACAATAGTAGGCAGAACAATGCATGCCTTTCCCAAAATGTGCAAATCCTAATCCCAGAAAACTATGAATATGTTACTTTATATGACAAAAGAGACTTTACCAAAGTGACTAAGTTAAAGATCTTTAGATGGAGATATTATCCTGGATTATCTGGATGATCCCAACATAATCACAAGGGTCCTTATAAGTAAAAGAGGGAGGCAGGAGATTCAGTGTCAGAGTGATGCATCATGAGAAAGACTTGACCAACCATTGCTGGCTTTGAAGATGGAAGGGAACTACAAGCTAAGAAATGCAAACAGCCTCTAGAAGCTGGAAAGAACAGGGAAATAAATTCTCTCCTGGAACCTCCAAAAGGAATGTAGACCTGCTGATACCTTGATTTTAGCCCAGTGAGACCAATTTCAGACTTCTCCTGAACTGTAAGATAATAAATTTGTGTTGTGGTAAGTCACCAAGTTCATGGCAATTTGTTATGCCAGCAATAGGAAACTAATACAGAATATAAGACTGAAATCTCTAAACCCGGAGAACTAAACCTGGGAAAGAAGAAGGATTAGGAACTGATGGAGGGCAGTGATGGAACATGTCGTGGGCAGCACAGCCAAATTGCGTACCACTTGTTAACCTGCACTGCAGGCAAGCTGAATTCATTAAAAGACAAATGTATTTTTTATCTCAGAGGCTCACACTCACAAAATGCTTTCATGCCTTTAACATGCCTGTAACACCTGGTAGGAGCCTCCTTGTTTTCTCACCAGAGTTTTTGTATCTTGTTAGAGAGCCTTATCAGCTCCAATTCAGAAGGACAAGCATCTGTCTCATATCTTATTCTGTGACTTACTGTTGGCCACAGAGGCAAAGAATGGCACAATAAAAATAATTATTCTTAAAAGTTCCAGAGCATATACAAAGCATCAATATCCATTGTCTGCATTCTATTAAAACCCACTGCTAAGCTCCTCCCCCAAGGCTGTCTGTTTCTGAGTAGGCCTTACCACGCTCTGACCCAGCTGCTCCCGAAAGAAGTAATCCATGTTTCTCTTTTGCAGGCTGTCAAGGTAATGCTGAAAGCGCGTGTATGTATATGGATAGCAGTAAGCAAACTGATAAATATCTTCTTCTCGGTCAAAACAAAATGCAAAGGACATCACGTAATTCTTCCTATGGTCCGGGCACCGGTAGTAGTAAACATTTTTAGGTGGCAGCCTTTGCCTGAAGATACAAACAAAAAAATGTGGGCATATCAGACAATCATTTAAGCTTCAAAAGGTAATAAACAGGAAAAGAAAAACTATAACATCAAGAACTCCATGTGGTACCTGGGAACAACAATCATACCATCTATGGTCAAAAAGGGACCAGGATTTGGCAGCATTTTGTTCAAATTCCAGCCCTACCCTTTATTAGCTGTTTGGACAATGCAAAGTTAAACAAAGATTTTAGTCATTGCTTACTCTTATTTTGAGCACTTATTATATGCCTAGGCATTGTACTAGATTCTTGAGGTATAATGGTAAGTAAGATTGGCAACACGTTTGTCCTCATGGAGTCTGTACTCTTGTGGGGAAGCAGTCTACGAAATATTAACAATAATACACAATATAGTTACAGACTCTTTATTTTAAATTTTTTAATTAATTTCTTTTTTCTAAAATTTATTTCTTTTCAGTGTAACAGAATTCATTGTTTATGCACCACACCCAGTGCTCCATGCAATACATGCCCTCCTTAATACCCACCACCTGGCTCCCCCAACCTCCCACCCCCTGCCGCTTCAAAACCCTCAGATTGTTTTTCAGAGTCCACAGTCTCTCATGGTTCACCTCCCCTTCCAATTTCCCTCAACTCCCTTCTCTCTAACTCCCCTTGTCCTCCATGCTATTTGTTATGCTCCACAAATAAGTGAAACCATATGATAATTGACTCTCTCTGCTTGACTTATTTCACTCAGCATAATCTCTTCCAGTCCCATCCATGTTGCTACAAAAGTTGAGTATTCATCCTTTCTGATGGAGGCATAATACTCTAGTGCAATGGCAGGGTGGTAGGGAAGCTCTATTTTTAATTTCTTGAGGAATTTCCACAGTGTTCTCCAAAGTGGCTGCACCAACTTGCATTCCCACCAAAAATGTAAGAGGGTTCCCCTTTCTCCACATCCTCTCCAACACATGTTGTTTCCTGTCTTGCTAATTTTGGCCATTCTAACTGGTGTAAGGTGGTATCTCAATGTGGTTTTAATTTGAATCTCCCTTATAGCTAGTGATGATGAACATTTTTTCATGTGTCTGACAGCCATTTGTATGTCTTCATTGGAGAAGTGTCTGTTCATGTCTTCTGCCCATTTTTTTTTAAAAAAGATTTTATTTATTTGTTTGACAGAGAGATCACAAGCAGGCTCCCTGCTGAGCAGAGAGCCCAATCCTAGGACCCTGAGATCATGACCTAATCTGAAAGCAGAAGCTTAACCCACTGAGCCACCCAGGCACCCCATAGTTACAGACTCTTGAGGGCAACTAAAGACTGTGATGTTATGCTGAAATAAATAGGGGAGGGCTACTCTTCCTAGGGAAGTCAGGTTTTTGTGTTATAAGGCCAATTCAGATCTTTTTAAAATAAGCTAATATGCATTGTAAATATTCAAGGGGGAGGAAAAAATATTCAGCATTTCTTTAAATTATTATTATTGTTTTTCTACAGAGCATTCCATGACACTAATTTTCCACAGAAGCACTTTGGGAAATACTGCTTCAAATATACTGTCTAGGCAATTTTGCTAAGTCATCACGCTCATTCTCTAATAAGTAACTCTGAAACATATACATGAGAAAAGGCAAAATGTTCCAGTCATAATTCCCATAACTTCTTTACATTCATCCACACCATAGGGTCACTGTACTCTCTCATGCTGTAGGACATCCAAATTACTCACATTGTTTTCCTATAGTGAATGTCTCTCATTTCTGTGCCTTCAAAATCCTGTTAATCTTAGAAAACCCATCTCAAACTGTGTCTTTTCTATGGTCATCCACTGACAATTCCAGACCCGTTCAGCTCCCACATTTTGCAGTAATTCTTGCTTCTTTATTGATGTCTTCTTAAGTCTTATTCACTAGGATCAGTTTGGAAGCTCCTTAGAGGCAGGTATTTTTCTGAGGGTTACTGGCAGGGTGGATGAAGGATGCAAGGCTCATTTGTAGGGGCTTGGCATTCAACTGAGAAGCCATGAGACACAGGGGAGCATGTAGAGGACATGTGTGAGGAGGAGGGTGTAAGTGATGAGGTTGAGAAAAAACAAGATTGGTGGTGGCTCTAGGTACAGTAACCTGTTACTGAAAGAAAATTGTTAAGAGTTCCTAGAGCATTATAACATGCAGTTTGTTGAAGAATCTTGCTTCTACCTTGGTGTCTTTCTGAGGCTGCCTAAGTAGCCAGGGTAGGAAGTAAGGCTGTGGGCTTCCTGTGGAAGAGAAGAGGTTGCCAAGACACTAATTCTGTACATACAGCAGCTTGAATTTCTTGCCTGTAGCCCTGGATCTTGTGAATCTCACCCAAACATTAAGTGAAAAGCAGAGAGAGGAAGAAGACAAAAAATTAAGGAAGGAAAAAAGGAAAAGAAGGATTGAGAGAAGAATGAGAGAAAAGAGAAAGGAAGGAATGAACAGAACATGCACAATATGTGGTCATATCAGTATTGGTTGTTTCTGGGGCTCATTCAGTACCTGATTTAATTCTCATAACTACTTGTCAAGATAGTTATTGTCCTACTTTGCAGATGTGGTCATGGAGGCTCATAAAAGTTAAGGAACTCACCCACGATCTCAAGCAAGAAAATGATAGAACTGAGACTCAAATTTGTTTCTGATTCCAAGTCCAGTACCTAGAACACTCCTCCATAACCCCTCTTGATAAATTATTAACTTCTGGCATTCCAGATATGAGTGTGTGCAAAATCCAGGGGGCAAGAGAGAACAAGTAAAATGCTGGGACTGAAAGGAATTCATCATGGCTGAAGCACAAAGAGTGAGAAAGGAAATCATAGGAAAATGTGTCTGAAGAGGAAGGCAGAAGCTAGACTAGAAAGGGACTTTATAAACCATGTTAAAGAATTTAAAAATTATCCTGAAGTCCCAGGGTACCTTTCAAGTTAGTGAAAGAAGTTAACTATCATGACTGTGCCAGTCTATAGAATCAATGATAGTGGTCAGAAGGACAGAAGGGTAGTAGCTGCACAGGTGTAGAAAACAAGACAGATTTGACTATATTAGAAAAAAGTGGTTGAAGTGATGGGACATAAAGTCTAATAATGGTTGAGAACCTGAATGTGCTGAGGAGGGCAGAGCAAGTACAGAGAAGAGCCTAAACAAAAAAGGAAAGGGCTTTGCACATAAATGTCAGTGGTAGTATCAAAGGCTGTCTACAGATGTCCTTGGGCCCATCAACAGAATCCATTTGCCTCCTACTCCCACAGCCATCACAAATAAATACACAGGTAACAACAGTCTTCTTGTAATATAAATATAACTTTAAGACAAGCCCTCCTAGGCACTCCTCCTTTCTAAAGAGATTGCTACCTTTCCTACTTTGAAATGCTGGGGCTACCCATGATGAGAAAGAGAAATAAGGGCCTGGAAGGTGCATGGGGAGTTAAGAGAAAAGTCATCTCCTCCTTATATTTCTGTACATGGAGTAAGAGAATGAGAAGCTCTTCAGAGGGTAATGGGGGGAATAATGGCCTCCATATCAGGTCTTACTTCATTGTTTTATGTAGCAAATATTTGTTAAGTATCATGCACCAGGCATTTTTGATTAAGAGAAGAGGTAAAGGAAGCAATGGACTAAAAAACTGAGAAGTGAGATTATTAACCATAAAGCTGAGTTTCAGAGGAAAAAGGGGAAAGTTCTGGATAGAGAAGGGAACAGTGGAAAACCAAGATCAGACCAGTGCAGAGACGAGGCTATGGAAACAATAGGTAATGGTATACATGTGTGATATGATTCCAAATGTAGGAATGTGAGGCTGGTGGAATAACCTAGTCTCAGTGTTCCAGATTTGCATTCAAGAAGAATGCCAATTGAAAGTGGCCTGAAGGTCCCTCGACAGTGGTCTGTGATACTGGCTTCAGGCCCTGGCTCACAGATCTGAGCACAAGGTGAGCATGTCTTCACACGCTAGTGATTCCTACAGTGATAGGCCCCTCGGGTTATGACGCTGTTGTTCGCAACTCCTCAGTAGCTAGTATATCTGATCAGGGTCCATGCTTCAAATTCAATCACCCCAGTTTTTCTCTTATTCTAGCTAAGTTTAGCAACTTGACTCTGAGAGCCTGCCATCTCCACCAAATTTGATTATGTGATATCAAGAGAATTCATCTAATGCCTGCAGCTGTCTCAGCTTCTCTCCTGAGTGGTTTGGATGCCTAACCTGATTTGCAGACAGAGTGAAGGTAATGGGCCCTGGGGTAATCATTCAAGGACGTCAAGATGCTGCTCAGGGCTTAGATTTTCTAGACTCTGGTAAGAATATAAATAAAAATCTATTTGAGAAGAGCTCAGTAGGTCAAATTCATGAGGAATTTATTTATTTATTTATTTATTTATTATTTATTTATTTTCATGAGGACTTTCATGTAACACAAAGAAGAGAGGAAAATAAAGCTGAGACTAAGTAGGAAAAATATCTCTCTCATTTGTAATGCACTTCTGGTTTTTCTCTTATTTTGCTTATTATATTTTTACTATGTCTTAGGCATCATGTTAAATGTTTCATATGCATTATCATTTGAACTTCATAATAACCCCATGAGCCAGGGGTTATTAACATCCCCTTTACACAGACAAGAAAACTGAAGCTCAGAAAGGTAAAAAAAAATTCCTTGAAGTGGCAGTGTTAGTAATCCACAGAGCTTGTATTAGACTCCAAGTCTTTGCTCATAATCCCTAAGGTAATATGCCACCCTCCTTTTTCCCCTTGCCATCCAGATCATAGACTTATTTCTGCTTCCAGAAAAATCTGCTCTCACAGGACTCTCTTGCTAAAGACTCTTCAAACAACTCCCTATCTATATATTCTGGTTTAGCCCACAAGGCTTCCTGAGATCTCTCTGTGATCTGGTATCATCAGCCAGTTCTTCCTCCTTGAACACTTTGTTTCATTCATACTGAGCTACTCACAACTCCCTAACACAATTTTATACCATTCCTCCCACACCTCT